TGACAGGAGGTCACCGTCACTCCGCACCAACTCATGCCCGTCGGGCGCCCACCGCGGATGAGCCGACAGGCCTCGGCTGGGCACGCGAGCGCTTAGATGGGCAAAAGGGCCCTGCGACCAGATGTTTACTCCGGGAAGGCCATTGCGAGCGCGCGTCAAGATCGGCTGCCAGTCGGGAAAAATACAACTCAAGAAATTACACTCATACGGCTGGTGGGCGGCTGGCCCGAAGTCCCGGCGCCCCACCGCGGCGACTGGGCATGAACTTCGCATGTTAACCGTGTCCTCGGCGGCGGGCCGCCAGCGGAAGGCCGCGTGTTCGCGGCGTCGGCAGCCGCGCGGGGCGCGCAGGGCATCGCTCCTCGAAGTCCTTCCCCTTTACGCGCTGGAGGGCCTTGCAGCGCCGGCCCATGGACTTCACCAGAGATGGGCTCGGGCACGCGCTGGAGAGCCCGCCTGAGGCGCGCCGCGAAATGGGCCCTGGCTTTCCTCGTACCAGGCGAGCAGGAGGGCCTCCTGCTGCTTGCGGAGGCGGCGGTTGACGCAACCCCAGAAGCCGCAATTAAACGGGCTGATGTCTGGCGAGCGCCTCGGAAAAAGGCAGCGCCTCGATGGTATTGTCGAACTTGGTCTGCGCTGCGCTCCTGCGCCCCGAAGGAGTCGCTGCCCCCCAAAACCGGGGAGCGCTTCTTGCTGGAGTACGCCCGGCGCAGCGCTGGCGACAAGGACTTCGAGCGCTGGGAACTGGGGCTGACGAGGTGCATGATTGCTAGATGCCGTGCACTTCGAGTCATAGAAAAGTCTGCGCTTCCATCGGTGGGACGACGAAATGTTGCAAGTTGCTCCTGGCCGCGCACGGCCGCGCCGACATTGCGACGCCACCTCGACAAAACGCCCCCGCTCCCTAAATTTCAATGTTGGCATCGGGCGAGAACCCCAAGTCCGGGAGGACAAAATAATGCAAGTCAACATTGAAATACGGGGGAAGGGGAGCTCCTCGGATATCGATGGAATATGATCAAAATTGTCATCTTGTTCTCGGGAACGTATATATAACTTGCGAATTATTTTGTCGCCCATGCGTTTGTCTCCCTGCAGGTTGAAGTGACGCGGAGGGCGGTGGACTCGAGAACTGGGGGAGGATGATGCGAGGGGGTAGTGTCTCAAGGGTACAGGGTCGAAGTTCGGTCGAGGTCGACTTGCGAGCTCTCGAACAGGGTGCGAGCCGGAGGCGAGCCGCCACTGGACCGAAGGGTTCACGCCTCGCTGATGTCTGAGCTGGACCCAGCTGGTTCGAGTTGGGCTGACCTGGGCGCACCTGCGCAGGGCTGACCTGGACGGGACTGCAATATATTGAGCTCGGGTGGATTGGGCCGCGCAGACCGGAGCTGGGCTGCGCTGGGCTGCCTCCGCTGCGCAAGCAAAACAGAACAATATATTGGGCTTTGCCTTCGCCCGGCGAGCAGCGCCGAGCCCGCGTCGCGCCTGGCACGCGCCAGGCCGATCGTGGGCCGCGACGAGGACATGCGCGGCCCTCGCTGCGATCGCATCGCCAGGCGCACCCTTGGCTGCGCTGGGCACTGCCCAGGCTTTGTGCCGAACGTCGCCCGGTGCTGGCACGCGGCCGCGCAGCGGGGCGGGGCGCGCCAGCGACGACTGGGGTGGCGGGGGCGCGTGGGCGCTGCATCTGGCCTTTGGTTTACTCCAGTACATTGATATACGGTCGAATATTTATTTGAATACCTATTTGAATTACTATATGAATTACCTATTCGAAAAACCTCTGTTATTTGGGGGGTAACCGATTTGGAAAAATTTGAGAATAGCAGAAGAAAATACTTCTTTTTAATCTATATTTGCGCTAGCATGCAAATCATATAACTGCAGTTTTTCATTAAGTTATTCAAATAGGTATCACAATAGGTATTCAAATAGCCACTGGCGTTTTCAAAAATGAGGAAGGCAGCGCGGCGGGCGCGGGGCGCCCTGTGTTGCGGAACGTTTTGAGCAGGCCACGGCGCCAGGCATCGCCAGGGCAGAGCCTGCCGCTCCGAGCCGCGCATGGTCCGCCGCGCGGCCCAGGGGCGGCCGCTCGCGCTCCAGGCGCAGCCCGAGCGCGGCCCTGGCGCCGGCCTGGAAATAGCTGACAGGAGGTCACCGACACTCCGCACCAACTCATGCCCGTCGGGCGCCCACCGCGGATGAGCCGACAGGCCTCGGCTGAGCGCGCCAGCGCTTAGATGGGCAAAAGGGCCCTGCGACAGGATGTTTACTCAGGGAAGGCCATTGCGAGCGCGCGTCAAGATCGGCTGCCAGTCGGGAAAAATACAACTCAAGAAATTATATTCATATGGCTGGTGGGCGGCTGGCCCGAAGTCCCGGCGCCCCACCGCGGCGTCTGGGCATGAACTTCGCATGTTCCCCGTGTCCTCGGCGGCGGGCCGCCGGCGGAAGGCCGCGTGTTCGCGGCGTCGGCAGCCGCGCGGGGCGCGCAGGGCATCGCTCCTCGAAGTCCTTCCCCTTTACGCGCTGGAGGGCCTTGCAGCGCCGGCCCATGGACTTCACCAGAGGAGTCAAGATGGCCTCGGGCACGCGCTGGAGAGCCCGCCTGAGGCGCGCCGCGAAATGGGCCCTGGCTTTCCTCTTACCAGGCGAGCAGGAGGGCCTCCTGCTGCTTGCGGAGGCGGCGGTTGACGCAACCCAGAAGCCGCAATTAAACGGGCTGATGTCTGGCGAGCGCCTCGGAAAAAGGCAGCGCCTCGATGGAATTGTCGAACTTGGTCTGCGCTGCGCTCCTGCGCCCCGAAGGAGTCGCTGCCCCCCAGAACCGGGAAGCGCTTCTTGCTGGAGTACGCCCGGCGCAGCGCTGGCGGACAGGACTTTCGCGATGCTGGGACTGGAGGTGACGAGTGCATGAATTGTTAGATGCCCGTGCTCTTCGAGTCATTGAAAAGGTCTGTGCTATACCCATCTGTGGGACGACGAAATGTTGCAAAGTTTGCTTCCTGGCGCGAAAACGGCGCGCCGGACATTTGCGACCTTGCCACCTCGACAAAAGCCCCGCCACTCAAATTTTCAATGGGCGCCAATCGAGCGAGAACCCAGAGCACGAGGACAAAATAATGCAAGTCAACATTGAAATACGGGGGAAGGGGAGCTCCTCGGATATCGATGGACTACGATCAAAATTGTCATCTTGTTTCTCGGAACGATCATATAACTTGCGATATTTTGTCCGCCCGCTGCGTTTGTCATCCCCCTGCAGGGTGAAGGCTGACGCGGAGGGCGGGGGACTCGGAGAACTGGGGGAAGGATGATGGCGAGGATGATCAAGGGTACAGGGTCGACGTTCGGTCGAAGGTCGACTGCCGAGCTTCGAACAGGGTGCGAGCCGGAGCCGGGCCGAGCCGCCACTGGGCCGAAGGGTTCACGCCTCGCTGATGTCTGAGCTGGACCCAGCTGGTTCGAGTTGGGCTGACCTGGGCGCACCTGCGCAGGGCTGACCTGGACGGGACTGCAATATATTGAGCTCGGGTGGGCTGGGCCGCGCAGACCTGAGCTGGGCTGCGCTGGGCTGCCTCCGCTGCGCAAGCAAAACAGAACAATAGATTGGGCTTCGCCTTCGCCCGGCGAGCAGCGCCGAGCCCGCGTCGCGCCTGGCCCGCGCCAGGCGATCGTGGGCGCGACGAGACCTGCGCGGCCCTCGTGCGATCGCATCGCCAGCGCACCCTTGGCTTTGCGCTGGGCACCCCTAGGCGTTGATTGCAGAACGTCGCCGGATTGCTTGGCACGCGGCCGCGCAGCGGGGCAGGGCGCGCCAGGCGACGACGGGGTGTCGGGGCGCGCGCGGCGCCTGCATCTGGCCTATTTGAATACTCCCAGTACATTGGAATACTATTTGAATACCTATTTGAATACCTATTTGAATACCTATTTGAAAACCTCAGTTATATGGGGGGGAACCGATTTGGAAATTGAGAATAGCAAGAAAGAAAATACATTCTTTTTAACTCTACTATTCGCGCGTAGCAAATGCAAATCCCCATATAACTGCAGTTTTCATATAGGTATTCAAATAGGTATTCAAATATGTATTCAAATAGCACTGGAGTTTTCAAATTAGGCAAATGCAAGCGCGGCGGGCGCGGGGCCGCCCTGTCGCCGCCCGCTGCTCTGAGCAGGCCACGCGCCAGCATCGCCCAGGCAGAGCCTGCCGCGCCGAGCCCGCGCAAGTCCGCCGCGCGGCCCAGGGGCGGCCGCTCGCGCTCCAGGCGCAGCCCGAGCGCGGCCCTGGCGCCGGCCTGGAAATTGCTGACAGGAGGTCAACGTCACTCCGCACCAACTCATGCCCGTCGGGCGCCCACCGCGGATGAGCCGACAGGCCTCGGCTGAGCACGCCAGCGTTTAGATGGGCAAAAGGGCCCTGCGACAGGATGTGAACTCCAGAAAGGCCATTGCGAGCGCGCGTCAAGATCGGCTGCCAGTCGGGAAAAATACAACTCAAGAAATTACACTCGTACGGCTGGTGGGCGGCTGGCCCGAAGTCCCGGCGCCCCACCGCGGCGACTGGGCATGAACTTCGCATGTTCCCCGTGTCCTCGGCGGCGGGCCGCCAGCGGAAGGCCGCGTGTTCGCGGCGTCGGCAGCCGCACGGGGCGCGCAGGGCATCGCCCCTCGAAGTCCTTCCCCTTTACGCGCTGGAGGGCCTTGCAGCGCCGGCCCATGGACTTCGCCAAAGGAGTCAGGAGTCAGGATGGCCTCGGGCACGCGCTGGAGAGCCCGCCTGAGGCGCGCCGCGACATGGGCCCTGGCTTTCCTCTTACCAGGCGAGCACGAGGGCCTTCTTGATGCTTGCGGGGGCGTCGGTTGACGCAACCCCAGAAGCCGCAATTAAACGGGCTGGTGTCTGGCGAGCGCCTCGGAAAAAAGGCAGCGCCTCGATAGAATTGTCGAACTTGGTCTGCGCTGCGCTCCTGCGCCCCGAAGGAGTCGCTGCCCCCAGAACCGGGAAGCGCTTCTTGCTGGAGTACGCCCGGCGCAGCGCTGGCGACAAGGACTTCGAGTGCTGGGAACTGGGGCTGACGAGGTGCATGATTGCTAGATGCCGTGCACTTCGAGTCATAGAAAAGTCTGTGCTTCCATCGCGTTTGTCATCCCCCTGCAGGGTGAAGGCTGACGCGGAGGGCGGGGGACTCGGAGAACTGGGGGAAGGATGATGGCGAGGATGATCAAGGGTACAGGGTCGACGTTCGGTCGAAGGTCGACTGCCGAGCTCCGACCAGGGTGCGAGCCGGAGCCGAGCCGCCACTGGACCGAAGGGTTCACGCCTCGCTGATGTCTGAGCTGGATCCAGCTGGTTCGAGTTGGGCTGACCTGGGCGCACCTGCGCAGGGCTGACCTGGACGGGACTGCAATATATTGAGCTCGGGTGGATTGGGCCGCGCAGACCTGAGCTGGGCTGCGCTGGGCTGCCTCCGCTGCGCAAGCAAAACAGAACAATATATTGGGCTTCGCCTTCGCCCGGCGAGCAGCGCCGAGCCCGCGTCGCGCCTGGCCCGCGCCAGGCCGATCGTGGGCCGCGACGTGGACATGCGCGGCCCTCGCTGCGATCGCATCGCCAGGCGTACCCTTGGCTGCGCTGGGCACTGCCCAGGCTTTGTGCCGAACGTCGCCCGGTGCTGGCTCGCGGCCGCGCAGCGGAGGAGGGCGCGCCAGGCGACGACGGGGGGTGGCGGGGGCGCACGCGCGGTCGCCTGCATTGGACTATTTGAATTACTCCAGTACATTGGATATACTTTTTGATACCTATTTGATATTCCTTAATTTGGAATTACCTTACATTTGCTAACCTCAGTTCAATATGGGGGGGGAACCGATTTGAAACTTGAAAATAAAAAGAAAGAAAATACATTATTTTTAATTCTACTATTCGCGCGTAGCAAATGCAAATTCCCATATAACTGCAGTTTTCATATAGGTATTCAAATAGGTATTCAAATAGGTATTCAACTAGACTGGAGTATTCAACTGTTAGGCAAATGCAAGCGCGCGCGGGGAGCGGATGGCCCGCCCTGTCGCCTGCCCGATGCTTCTGAGCAGGCCACGCGCCAGCATCGCCCAGGCAGAGCCTGCCGCGCCGAGCCCGCGCATGTCCGCCGCGCGGCCCAGGGGCGGCCGCTCGCGCTCCAGGCGCAGCCCGAGCGCGGCCCTGGCGCCGGCCTGGAAATAGCTGACAGGAGGTCAACGTCACTCCGCACCAACTCATGCCCGTCGGGCGCCCACCGCGGATGAGCCGACAGGCCTCGACTGAGCACGCCAGCGCTTAGATGGGCAAAAGGGCCCTGCGACAGGATGTTTACTCCGGGAAGGCCATTGCGAGCGCGCGTCAAGATCGGCTGCCAGTCGGGAAAAATACAACTCAAGAAATTACACTCATACGGCTGGTGGGCGGCTGGCCCGAAGTCCCGGCGCCCCACCGCGGCGACTGGGCATGAACTTCGCATGTTCCCCGTGTCCTCGGCGGCGGGCCGCCAGCGGAAGGCCGCGTGTTCGCGGCGTCGGCAGCCGCGCGGGGCGCGCAGGGCATCGCTCCTCGAAGTCCTTCCCCTTTACGCGCTGGAGGGCCTTGCAGCGCCGGCCCATGGACTTCACCAGAGGAGTCAAGATGGCCTCGGGCACGCGCTGGAGAGCCCGCCTGAGGCGCGCCGCGAAATGGGCCCTGGCTTTCCTCTTACCAGGCGAGCACGAGGGCCTCCTGCTGCTTGCGGAGGCGGCGGTTGACGCAACCCCAGAAGCCGCAATTAAACGGGCTGATGTCTGGCGAGCGAGTCGGAAAAAGGCAGCGCCTCGATGGAATTGTCGAACTTGGTCTGCGCTGCGCTCCTGCGCCCCGAAGGAGTCGCTGCCCCCCAGAACCGGGAAGCGCTTCTTGCTGGAGTACGCCCGGCGCAGCGCTGGCGACGAGGACTTCGAGTGCTGGGAACCGGGGCTGACGAGGTGCATGATTGTTAGATGCCGTGCTCTTCGAGTCATAGAAAAGTCTGTGCTTCCATCGGTGGGACGACGAAATGTTGCAAGTTGCTCCTGGCCGCGAACGGCCGCGCCGACATTGCGACCCCACCTCGACACAACGCCCCCCGCCCCCTAAATTTCAATGTTGGCATCGAGCGAGCACCCCAAGTCCGGGAGGACAAAATAATGCAAGTCAGCATTGAAATACGGGGGAAGGGGAGCTCCTCGGATATCGATGGAATACGATCAAAATTGTCATCTTGTTTCTCGGAACGATCATTTAACTTGCGATATTTTGTCCGCCCACTGTAATAATCGCTCCCCTCGTCCTCGCCCCCAGAACCCGCGCCGAGCTCGCCGACGACGCCATTGCCCTGGTCCCCGCGGGAATCGGCCTGGGCGCTGGCAGAATCAACCGAAAGCGTCTTCTCGATCCGCTCCTCCGCTGGCTCGACGAGGTCGCCCGCCGCCGCCTGGATGGTCGACGCCGCAACTCGGAGTCGCTGCTCCTGGGCCGAAAGAGCCTCGAAGCCCTCGGGGTCATCGGTAGTCTTGCAATGCTCGTGGATGTGCGTCCAATCGTCGTCCTTCTTGGTGGCCGTCATGGTTTCCGCAGTTTTCCTTGGGGCCGAATGACAATGCGCCGCCGACGGCCCCAGCCGAGCCTGCGCCAGGTGCTGAGCTGGAGCGCGCGCCCCGCCCTGCCGTGGCGGGTGGGGGGCCGGCGCGCCAGTCCAGGGCCTGGGCGGGCGCGACCCGGGACAAAGGCGGGGCAGTGGCACCCGAACTCCCGAGCTCGCGCATCGAGCCGAACTCCCTGCACAACGGGGACATCTCTGCCTCGGCCCACCCGAGCCTCAGGAGCACGGGGCGGATCGCGGCCACTGCCTCGTGGAAGAGCCCCATGTACTCGTCGTCAGTCACGCCGGGATCGGCGAGGTAATCGCCGGACTTGGCGGACAGGGCCCCCCCGTAAGACATGTGCGCGTCAGTCCGCGACATCGCCCCCATCTTGAAGCCGCTGGCGCAGCAAATCTCTTGCAGCTTCTGGGTGCGGCGCGCCAATTGGCGGAGCATGAGCAACGTCAAGTTGTCCGACGGGGTCCGAACAAGTATTCCATGTACATGCTCCCCCAGCGGTGTGGCCTCTTCATGAGTTCGCTGCACATCGCAAGCGAGGCTGGCAAGCCGTCGCCGAAAAAATTGATGTTGGTCGTCCTGGCGTTGTGGAACGACGTCGCCAAGATGGTGCCCGAGATGACGAGGCGGATGCGGTCCCTCCGAGAGAACGTGCCCACCTGGCTCAACACTCCGACCTCGATCCACATGATGGCGCGCGTGTAGAGCGACGTGCCGAGGATCTCCGCGACGGGCACTCCGCTGCCGAGGAGCGCCGAGAAGTGGGGCAAGGCCCTGTACAGCATCTGCGCCCTGATGTCCGAGAAGACGTCGACGACGCGCGCGCAATCCATCCGGGCGCCAACCAGGAGAAAGGTCCGAATCGAAGAGATCAACCATCCGCCTGAAGGCGACGCGGTGCGGCCAGATGACATCGACCCGCGGCCGCACTTTGACTGGCGCTTCACATCTAAGCCCACCAGGAAACCACCCGCCTCCGCAGCGGCGAGCGACGCAACAAGTGCTGGCGCCACCACTCCTTCTCTTTCGCGATGCCGTCGTTGCAGCCGCCGAGGAGGGTCACGCCATGGCGCTGCGCGGCCTCCTTGGCGCGCTGCAGGTTCGCCGCGTTGAATGCCATCTCGTCCGCTCCAGTCGCCTTGCCAGGGCGCGTGCTCAATACCCTGATGCCCCCAGTGCCGAGGGGCAAAACTGCGGTGAACTTCGCGAGGCGGGCCAAGTCGTCCTGCTTGAACTGCGTCGTCTTGTACTCCTCCGCGCTGAGCAGAAACTTGCCATTCTTCGCGCAGCCGACGTAGCTCTTGAGAGCCAAGTCCCAGACGACCGCCCTCAACACGACGATCTCGTCGCACACGAGGATCGCGGCCTCGGACCCTTCCTGCCGCATGCTGCCGAACACCATGTCTGCGAGGCTGTCCAAGCTCGGCTTGCTGTGGTCCAAGTAGTTGGTCACCGCCTTGCCGGAGCTCCTCTCCGACTTTTGCAGGAGGGGGGCCGGCGGCATGGGGGCGAAGCCCTTACGGATATCCCTTCTGTAGCGGGACGTGCCCGACTGAACAGAAGGGCGGGCGGCGGGGAGAGCCCGCGGAACTGCCCAAGAGATGGGGATACGCGAAGCGTAAGGAATTAGAGTGACCTCGCGGAAATACAAACCATATTCTTGTGATGACGCGCCCCTGATCGAGTTGTCATGCAAAATTCAATGGTGTCAATGCAACAAGTGTCCAACAAACTGCTACACCGAAGACGGTACAGAACGAGCGGCACGTGAACGGAAGATCGGTCTAACGAGTGGTACGGAACGAGCGGTATAAGACCTGCTGCACCGAGACGGTACGGAACGAGCGGTACGGAACGAGCGGTATAAGAAGCTTGCCGGAGACGGTTCATGGCACCGTTCACGCTTGGAGGCCTTGTTGTAAAGAGCGTGTCACGTCACTGTGAGCTCTTGGGGGGCTGGCAATAAAGCTGTCCATGTCGTCATTCGTACTGGGAGCCTTGGTCTTCAGCAGCACCAGCAGTAGCACCAGCATCAGCACCAGCAGCACTGGCAGCACCGGCAGCACCGGCAGCACTGGCAGCACTGAGCCAGCAGCACCAACACTGGCACCAGCAGCGCCAGCAACACGAGCAGCACAAGCAGCAGCAGCAGCAACACCAGCAGCAGCACCAGCACCACCAACACCAGCACCAGCACTACCCTCATCATAGCCAGCAGGAGCAACACGAGCAGCAGCAGCAGCACGAGCAGCAACACCAGCACCAGCAGCAACACCAACAGCATAATCACCAACAACAGCAAGAACACCAACAGCAGCACTGGCAACCTCATCCTCATCCTCATCCTCACCCTCATCATCGTCATCGCCATCGCCATCGCCATCGTCATTGTCATCGTCATCGGCATCGTCATCGCCATCGTCATCATCGTAATCATCGTCATCATCGTCCTCATCGTAATCGCCATCGTCACCATCATCACCATCATCATCGTCATCGTCGTCGTCGTCGACATCGGCAGCTCTCATGGGCAGCGTCTCCGAATAGGCTGGTGGGGACACGCGAAGAATCCCACCAACCCTCTGGGCGTCGGTGGTTTAGAGCGTTTCCTCTTCCCCCCCTCCTTCTTCCCCTTCGGGGAGGGGTTTACCCCTCCCCCTTCCCCCCTCCCCACTGACCCGGACAGGGGGGGGCCGCGGGTAGTTAGAGCGTCCAAAACGGCCCAGCACGGCTCCAAGAGGGCCTCAGAGAACTCAAGATGACCTCCAAGATGGCTCAAGATAGCGCAAGATGCCTCAGTATGGTCCCCATGATGTTCCAAGACGCTCCAAGAACTCCCCAATACGGTTCCAAGTGCCCACAAGAGCATCATTAGGATGCATCCAAGAGGCCAGAAATGCTTCAAAACCCTGGGGGAAATCAATGTTTTTGGTGTTCTCACTTTTTCGCTTGCGATGCACATCCGACGCGTCAAGATGGCTCCAAGATGGCTCAAGATAGCTCCAAGAGGGGCCCAAGAGAGCCTCAGGATGGCTCCGAGAGCGGCCACGAGCGCTCCAAAAGCGATCCAAGAGGGGTCCAGGAAACGATTTTTGGAGTTCCTGGGGGGGCTGTAACTAGGGAGCCCCGCTTCCTTGGCCGATGTCCTCCAAAATTGCCCCAAGAGCGCCCCAGCAGGGCCTTCAAGGGCGCCCAGACGGGTCCAAAAGGAGCCCAAGCCCCCCAAAACAGCTTCCCAAGAGGCCCCAAGAGACCACCCAGAGGCACCCAAGGGGCAAAGATGGCCCCAAGAAGCGCCCAGGAGGCCCCCAAAGGCCCCAAGATGGCCCCAAGAGGCCCCAAGAGGCCCCCAGGAGGCCCCAAAGAGGATCCCGAACGGCCCACAGATGCCCCCCCGAGGCACCCAACACGCCAAAAAGCACCCTCTACTCGCCTGGGCGTCGTTTCTGGACGGGCTGGTGGGGATACGCGAAGCGTCTAAAGTTTCCAAGGGTGAACTCTTGGGTTGTCTTGAAGCGATCTTAAGCCATATTCGAACGCTCTTGGGCGGTCTTGGGCTCTCTTGGAGCGCGCTTGGGCCGTCTTGGAGCCCTCTAGAGCGTCTCTTGGGCCGTCTTGGGGGCCAGCAGCAACGTCGGCAACACCACTACCACCACCATCAGCAGCACCAGCGGCCGATGTTGGAGCTGTAGTGGTCTTGGGCACCTTCTCCCTCCTCTTCCTCCTCCTATTCATCGTCCTTCCCCCCACTCATTCATCCGTCCGTCCACCCAGACTTCCCCTTCTCCTCATCCCTCCTTCGCTCGGTTCGGCCATCCCCCTCTTTGCTCCCACGCTTCCCTTGACACATCAACTCGCCTGGGCGTCGTTTCTGGATGGGCCGGTGGGGGTACGCGGAGCGTCAAGAATTATATTGGCCTCGCGCAAATACGAACCATATTTTTGTGATGGCGCGCCCCTGGTCGAGTTGCCCATGCAAAATTCAATGGCCGATAGGCGGTATGCAAACTAAGCTCCACTGCGTTCTAAAATCGAAGACGTAAGTAATGTAAAGAATGCCTCACGGAGAAAGTCAACGCAACAAGTGCCCAACAAACTGCTACACCGAAGACGGTACGGAACGAGCGGTACGTGAACGGAAGATTGGTATAAAGAGTGGTACGGAACGAGCGGTATAAGAACTGCTGCGCCGACACGGTATAATCTCAGCCCTGTACGCCCGCCGCAGCCCGAGAGGGCCTCGGAGAGCCCAAGATGGCCTCCAATATGGTTCAAGATAGCCCAAGATAGCTTCCACGGTGCTGCAAAATCCTTCAATATCGTCCCAATAGGGCACTAAGTGGCCTCGAAGCCTCTCCCAAGAGGGCATTCCGTCCGGTGCTAATCTTCGCTTCGATATGCTTCGGTTACAACTGTTCCGGGAAATTTGCCTCGGCCCCCACCCTGGTTCTGGACGGGAGGGGGCCAGAACGATTGGAGCGTCCAAGATGCCCCAATATGGTTCCAAGAGGGCCTCGGAGAGCCCAAGACGGCCTCCAAGATGGCTGAACAGATCTCGAGATGGCTCAAAATAACCTCCTGCGCACATCCAAGAGGAACGTCAAGACCGGGAGACGTCATGCAAGAGAACGAAGACAAGTATACATGGTTATCGTCATGTCCAGAATGCAAACCCGCCTTTGATATTGGGAACTCAACCGAAGCATCAAGTGAATAATCAAGCAAAGTCTTCGTTCATTGGGAAAATGTATCATCGCATATGTAGAAATCCAACCAATATGTCCTTTCCTGATAGAGCAATCGTGTTAGAACAAGCCGGCACGGGAACGCAAAGACAGTAATCAGAAACTTGCCCGAGACTTCACTCTTGGGAGCCTTGGTGATAAGAGCTTGCCACGTCACTGTGAGTTCTTGGAGCTTTGGCGTCACTGTGAGTTCTTGGAGCCTTGGAGGGGGGCCATGATCGAACCCCCACCCCCTCCCCTCCCCCCAGACGTTGACGGGGGAAGGCGCGGGTCGTTGGAGCGTCCTCGAGATCGAGGCTCGAACCTCGACGTGAACCGCGCACGGCACACGAGCCTGGAGGAGGGTAAAACGAGCCTGGAGGAAGTCAAAACAAGCTTGGAAGGTAAACCGAGACTGGAAGAAGGTAAAACGAGCCTGGGGGGGGGGTAGAACAAGCCTGGAGGAGAGTAAAACGAGGCTGGAGGAGGGTATAACGAGCCTGGAGGATAAAGCGCGCTGGGGGGAGGACAGCGCGAGCCTGGAGGAAGGTAAAACGAGCCTGGAGAAGAGTAAAACGAGGCTGGAGGAGGGTATAATGAGCCTGGGGGATAAAGCGCGCTGGGGAGAGGGTGGCACGAGCCTGGAGGAGGGTAAAACGAGCCAGGAGGGAGTCAAAACAAGGCTGGAGGAGGGTAAACCGCGCCTGAAAGAAGGTAAAACGAGCCTGGGAGAAGGTAAAACGAGCCTGGAGGAGGGCAACACGAGCCTGGAGGAGGGTAAAACAAGCCTGGAGGAGGGTAGCACGAGCCTGGAGGAGGGTAAAACGAGCCTGGGGAGGGGGTAAAGCGAGCCTGGAGGAGGGTAAAACGAGCCTGGAGGATGGTAGAACGAGCCTGCATGAGGGTTAAACGACACCGGAAGATGGTAAAACGAGTCTGGAGGAAGGTGAAACGAGCCTGGAGGAGGGCAGAACGAGCCTGGAGGAGGGCAAAACGAGCCTGGAGGATAAAGCGCGCTGGGGGGAGGCTAACACAAGCCTGGAGGAGGGTAGAACGGGAAGGAGGGAGAGAGACAGAGAGAGAGAGAGAGAGAACGGACGAACGGACGACGGACGAATGACGAAGATATGATGCTGATTGTAGCGCGATGGTGTTGGCGCTGCGTAAAGAGCATGCGCAATGCAAGTAACCTGTTCAAGATTTGCCCTTCCGCCGATGACGCGCCATTTTGAAATGCACTTGCAAGAACCGTTCGTGCATGCAACAATTGCATGCGTATGTGAGCCACGATTTCAGCGCCACTATTTCGTCGGAGTCAAAGGAAATGCGATGCACACTCTGTTGTCTTGGGTTGAAAACTTTTGTTTCCCAATTGTACTTTATCATATCATCCAACAAAGTGCAATATTCAAGGTAAACCATGGCCATTATAATCGCAGCATATTCTTCTTTTACCTTTGGCATATTCTTTTTTTCAGGGGATTTTGAAACGCACGAACGCCATCTGTATTTTCCGGAGCACGGCAAGTTTGAAGGGGCGCCTTTTGGAAATCTCCAACGAACCTCTTGAATAGCTTCAATGTGTTTTGCCTGGATGTGTAATGTTTGCAATGCTACCACACCCCAATAGGGGCCAGGTTTGGGTCATCAGATTCAAAAAATGGCTCCGAGTTCGCAGATGAAGGCGCCGTAATTGTTGATTTGTTTTCGTAAAGCGAATGCGGCCTCCTTG